ACTTAGCAATTCCTGATAAACATACCCAAGGATCATTAAACCAATCAGAGGAGATACATGCTAAGAAATCAATTTCAAAATTATATCCAAGAAAAACAGATGAGGGTGCTACACAATTTATCACTGTTAAGAACCTGTGCTATATAAGCTACATTTCAGACTGTCCTAAAATAAAAGCAAACAAGTTGCTGAAGGTAGAAGAAATTAAGTGCAAGTTCTCTACACAAATTCATTAAGCATTTTGTGTTTCAGAAGAATATAAACAGCTGATCAGAAAGCCACCCAGAAATTAGCTCTCATCAGCCACATGATAGCAGACAGGTGATACTAAAAATCCCTTCTGATTCTTCAGCACTTGAATTCAATCAAATTCATATAATTCATATACTTGTACTCTGTACATATTTTCCTTAGCAATACATGTGCTACTTGTTTCCAGAAAAATGAGCAAAACCAAGAAATCAAAAGCACAGAAGCGGTGATCATGAGTTATTTGTAGAATGGCCTAAGACAGGTTTCATTCCTTCAGTTGTTTGAGGAGATTCAAAACTGCATCGTCCCTAGCCAGGTATCTTTCAGATGCAAGTGCTCATGATCTTTCTGTTCAAAATGGGCTACTAAGAAAATGATTTAGGTTTCACTGGGCTAGAGACGAAGAGCAGCGTGTCTTAGCAAGGAGTGAAGAACCTTTACGTCCAAATTCCATTCCAAAGGCTATTTGATTTTAATACTAAAGTAGATAAGTGAGCACTGTGTAACAGTTATGTAAAGCACTGGAAAACAACAGCAGAAAGCTCTGAGTTTGATTACCATCATGCATTCAAAGCACCACAGCATCCCACAACTCATGTTCACCATCCCAAAGCAGTACAGTGTAGATACTTCCATATTCTTTCCTCAACTACACTACTGAATATTTTAAAACTTTTTTTTTCCTCTAATTTCTTCCTGCTGCTCTTCACACCAACCCCAAGTTTGTTTATTCTTTCTTCTCTTCTTCCTCCCCCTCTGTAGAAAGCTGCCAACTACCTAAATACAGCTGTCCATTGCTTGCTGATCTACACGACCATTTATTGACAGCATAAATAAGGAAGGTTCTAGTGAGAGAGAAATTGTATGTATGTTGCTCATAAACCTTTGGAAGATATTCAGGAGGAAATACAAGGGAAGATGCACAGAAATTAATATACAGAACACTGCTGTACTGCACTTAAGGTCAATTTAAATAAAAGTTGGCTGGTCTTTCCTCTCCTCTCTTCGACGTGACATCTCAGCCCTCTCCTACAGGATAGAGAAACTAAAGAATGCAAACACAACACATCAGCATCAGCTGCTGAGTTCTGGGACAGTTCAGCAGCCTGTTCCGCATGCAGGAGCACCATGTGAACACAAGGATGAACACAGAACCACGACAGAATTGATTCAGAGCTTGCTCAAACTACCAATGAAGCTACTCTCTGAAGTGTTTAACAATAAGTTATGCTGAGTGACAATAGGAAAGTCATATTTACACTGATTCTGGCAGTAATTCTGAAGTTCCAGTAGGGAATCACAGAATGGTTTGTATTGGAAGGGACCTCTGAGATCAAAGACAACTGCTAACTGCTGGCATCTAGAGATGTGCAATGCTACAGCATTCCAAAAGACCACCATGAGTTCGTAGCATTTCCTACATTCTTAAATATTCTGAGGGCAATAATATGAAAAACTGTACTCTGAATACTCAACAAGAATTACAAAAGCATATTCTACTCCTCCTAGTCAAACAAGCTTTAAAGAAACTAGCTTACAACAAGCAAAAAGAAAGCATCAGGATGCAACATGTGGGTTCTTTTGGGTCAGGCTAACTTTACACACTGGACAGAATCGCCTTTCCACACAGCAAGATAAAAAAGTTACAGTCACAACATTATCAATCGGGCAAAGTTTGCTTTCTCAAATTAAATCAGGAAATACACTTTTCATTATAGCAAGCTGTTCAAACAGTCAGCTCACGAAATTTCATCACGTCCAATCAATAATCAACATCATTTATCTTGTAATGGATGATGACAAAAAAAAAATGTTTACTCAAGGTCTTTGTTACCAAAAAAAGGGGTACTTCCCATTTTTCATTTGTGCCTTTTCCTAAATACGTACTTCAGATTACAAGCTTCAAATCCAGTTCAAAAAAGTGGATGCTACTATCAAACAATAACAAAACTTCTGTCTTATTTACTTCTGGGAATTTCACAAGAACCACCTTGGTTTCCAAATTACAAATGCTGGAGCTAAAAGGCAGCCACTGTGGAAGCTTACATTGTTTGATTGTGTCCTACCATAAACAATGTGTATTACTACATTTGTCTCAGATATATTGCTGTAAAATAAAGATTTTGGCCATTGTAAGTATTTTCCAGGGACAAAACCCTTCAGTCACTGACTCTGAGCTACTAAGCAAGATAAAAAACACTTGAATCCTAATAAAATTAACAGTTGCCAAACTGTCACAACTACCCACAGTGATACTTCTTTACTTGCTCCCTGAAAAGTTCACTGGACTTTCAATGTTTTTCAGCACAATTCATAGGCTACAGGAACATCAAAAGGTTTAATTACCTGAATATAAACCACATATCCACTAAGTAAATGCAGCTAAGCAGATAAAAAGTTCATAAAAGCTTAAAAGAATGAAACTAGCTTCAACAGAGACAAGTAGCATACAATTGGGATAGAAAATGTATTAACCACTCCTGAAGTGAATAAATACCTGAATAAAGACCAAGCGTACCGAAAAGATAACTCACATTTAATTCTATTATCCACAGCAAAGTTATAAATAAGAGATCAAATGTAACAAATAAACAGAAAGTCCTTCTGACGTCCGATATTCCCTTCTTCTCTCTGACATCATAGGACTCAATCCTTGCCATCAGGTGTGTTGGGTTGATGGAGTGGACATCTCGCAAGGACGGGCAGGATTCCACACTGCTACTGTGAGCATTTTCTGCATCATTTGGCACCCGATTCATCCTGGGTTTGCTCAGAGTAGTCTTTTTCCAGTTTCACCATCACTAGAATGCTGATCCATATAGGAACAACTTCTAAATAAAAAAGAGATCTACGTTAGTCAGCAAAGCCCCCAAATTCCACTATGCAATTTCACCTCACTATGTCAAGTTTCTCTCTAGAGAAAGATTCAGCACATGATCACCCTCATGGCAAAGGAATGTTTTCCAGTTCCCAATCTGACCCACACCTGGTGCAGCTCTGTGCTGTTCCTGCCCTGCCACTGGTGCACAGGAGCAGAGCCAGCATCTCTCTGCCTCCCTCTCTCAGGGAACTGCAAAGTCTTCTTCAGGCTGGGCAGCCTGAGTGCCCTCACCTCTCCTCACAGGATGTGTTACCAGCACATCCAGAGCTGGCACTACCAAAAGATTAGAAGTCCATTAAAATCAAGAGGGCTACAGTACACATTCTATAAAGCAAATAAGCCACTAGTGAGCCTACAGATAACCTCAGCTGCTATCACATCTTATGCTGCCAGACAGAAAGACAACTATGCAGCTTAGTGGCAAAAGGTGAGGATGTCTCTACTGACCTCACCACTTTTTAAATGAGATTATCATGTTCACTTCTTACAAAACTCAAACTGATGGCTGTACTACAGGAGAAACTTCTTCCAGAAAAAGCTCCTAGAAGGAGTTAAGGTCACAAAAGTTTCAAGAAATGTTAATTTTATGCAAAATACTCAGAAGAATAAGCTAGAAGTGCCGCAATACAAATCACGTCAGTGGAGTTTCTGTAACACTGCGGGAGCAACTTCTTGAAATTCAAGAACAAAGCTCTGTCTCTTCCTGTGTGGGCTGACTTTCAGTACACCACAAAATGGAAACAAACCCTTCCCACTCTTCCATCCGAAGCAGCAACAGCATTCCAGCTTCCACTATGTAAGAAAACAGGCAGAGAGAGCACAGAAGGAAAACAAACAGGCATCTGTAACACA